CTTGAAGGATGTGCACAAGTCTGCAAAGAAAGGGGAGAGCAGAAAGAACTTTCTTTCCAGAGGGAAAGAAAAGCATGTTAAAAGGCTGGGAAGGGTCGTACTTTCAGGAAACAGCACATGCTAAAAGGAGGGAAGAGGAAGGGAATTTTCTCATTTTGGACTTGAGATATATGTGGAAACCTCAATAGCAGTGACAGCAGCTGTTGGCTGCATGAGTCTGAGGTTCAGGAGTGAGGTCTGGGCTGGACCTGGGGGTTGTTAGCACAGGTGACATTGGATAGGGAGCTAAAAGGCAGAAGGCCAAGGGAAGAGAACATTTGAAACATCTGTACATTTATGTGGACAAAGAACTGAGAATGAATGGTTCAAGAAGCAGGAGAAGCTGGGCATAGTAGCTCATGCCTGTAGCCTTATCTACTTGGGAGGCTGAGAGCAAGAGGATCTTGGTTTGAGGCCAGCCCAAGCAAATAGTTAATGAGACCACATTTCCAAAATAACCAGGGCAAAATGGACTGGAGGTGTGGCTCAAGAAGCAGAGTGCCTACTTTGCAAACATGAAGACTTGAGTTCAAACCAAAAAAAAAAACAAAAGAAGCAGAAGATAGGAAGGTGATATGACAAAAAAACAAAAACTAAACTAAAAAAATCAGTGGTGGTAGGAAATTCTGGTGTGTTTTTTTTTGCTTTCCTGTCATAAGAACATCTTGCATTAAAAAAATCTTCAAAGATATGATGTTTCAAAAACTGTTTAAAAATATTGAATTACAGTTTTCCGTCTGATGCAATATTTAAAATGTAAAATATTCAGAATATATTGAATTTCATATTAAAATTTATAATATAAATATAAAAAATGTAATAATGTTAATTGTTACAGAGTTTGGAATAAGGTTGTCTGATAATTGTGATAAGAATATAATGTATAAAAAAAAGGAAAAATTCAATTAAGTTGAGTGGTTTTTAGAAAAGCAAACCAAGGGTTGTGTATGATGGGCATGGCTGTAATCCTAGCTACTCAGGAAGTAGAGAAGGAAGGAACATAGTTTGAGGCTGGCAGGGAAAAATTATGAGATCCTGTCTGAAAAAGAAGCTAAAAGGACTGGGGTCATGGCTTAAGTGGCAGAGCGCTTGCCCAGCAAGCTCTGCTGAGTTCAATCCCCAGTACTACCACCACCACCAAAAAAAAAAAAAAAAAAAAAAAAAAAAACAGAAAAAGAAAAAGAAAACCAATTATATAATTAAGGAAATTCTTCTATCTTTCACCTGAAATTTCACCAGGTAATTTGAATTTTCACTTTAAACTCAAGAACTAGTTAACTTATCGATCTTAAAAAAATACTCTTTACATTCTTTACGTTGTGATATCCTTAAACACACAGAATGCCCATGTAGCGAGTAGAATAGTGTTTTATTGCCACCCACTCCAAATCGTGTCACTCTTATTTGGAAAAACAGTCTTTGCTGCTGTAATTAGTTAAAGATCTGGAGATGAAATCCTCCTGGGTTCAGGGTGGTCTTGAAGGCAACTGACTGGTGTTTTTATAAGAGAAAGGAGTGAGAGATTTGGACACAGGCATGCACAGAAGGTGTTGTGAAGATGAAACAGACTCAAGTGTGTTTACAAGCCAAGGAAACTAAGAATTGTTAAAAAACACTTAGAAGCTAGGAGACAGGCATGAGATGGTTTCTGTCTCTGCAGTTCCAGAAGGAATCCACCCTACTGACACCTTGACTTTGGACTTCTGGACTCCAGAGCTGTGAGAGAACAGCACATTTTTGTTGCTTAAGCCACCCAATTTTTGGTTGTCGGAAAGTTTTTAAATTTTATCTAAAGGTTTGATAATTTTAGCCTATGAAATAAATTAGAACTATAGATAGACTAACAGGAAAAAACATACAAATTTATTAATGCGTAGAAACATGGAGAGCCATAAATGAGAAGCATGAGACTTAAAGACACTCAGATGGTTGAAGTTCAAGTAGCATTTTGAGCTGATGTCCATGCAAGTTATAGAAGGGTGGGAGAAAAATGCATCCAGCAAAGGTCATCTTATCATGCAGATGAAGTCTCTTGGGAAACAGTCATCAGAAGGACATATGTGGCAATCTTTGGGCCAGAATTGGAACCCCAATTTCTTCCTCCTGTGAAAAGCTCTTTCTTCAGCAAATGGATGTGTGTGTGTGACTCTGAGAAAACCTGTTTGCACATGTTGTTTACTTCTACTACAGATTCAAATCTTCCCCACAGAAGGAGCAGCTTTTCAGAGCTATTCCTGTGTCTGCAGTCCCTCTGAATAGCCACCTTGAAATATGCTAAAGAAGTATGTTTTGGGGTGGCCTATTTTGATTTCCCTCCCAAGCCCCAGGAACATTTGACATCTAGAGACACTTCTGATTGTGCAGCTGGGGAGAAGGGGTTGTTACTGGTATCCACTGGGTAAACGTTAGGAGATTCCTCAGCATCCTACATGCACAGGGCAGACTCCAAAATAAAGAGTGGTCTAGCCCAGAATCTGACATTTCTGTTCTAAGGTAAGCATCTGGAGGTCTAAATAGCCAGAGGGGAAAAGCAGACAGCAAAACAGTTAAGGCTCTTACAACTTAATGGGGAATACAAAATGTTTACGAAATTGTACCCAAGATAGTATCCCAGACAGTGTCGAAGATTCAGAAGCAATTTACAAGCAAATTCCTTTTATCTTAATCTAGTATTCTTTGGGGACTCCCTCTATGAATAACATACCTAATTATGTGGGGAGCATAAAGGCTTGAAACATAGCCTTCCAATGACAAATGTTTTCACCTGAAGCAATGGCAACCAAATTAAGTTGTACAAATGAGCAAAATAAAATAAACTATCATACACTTGCTATTAAAATCATATGCTTACGTTTCACCATTTTCAAAAGTGATAAGCAGTAAGTCAAATTAAATAACATGTTAAGCATTAATTTAAGCTAGGATTTCTCAGCCTTGGCCCTCTTGACATTTGGGGCCTAATAATTCTTTGCCGTGAGGGCTTGCCCTAAAAAATATGGGGTATTTAGGAGCATCCCTAGATTAGCAATTATGTCTCCCTCTATAGTTGTAGCAACCAAAATGTCTCCAAACATTGCTGTGTTTCTTGGAACAAAAATTTTCACAGGTGGAAGCCATTTTTTTAGCTCAGAAAGAGAAAGAAGCAACCTTCCCCCCATCCACACACAAAATTGTTTTATAACAAGAGCTTAGTTTTATTATTACAACAACTACTATTATTGTTTTATTATTTATTTTTAGTAGCATATATTAGTTTTACAGGGGTGTGACATTTATATCTGTGCTTACAATGTATCTTTATTAGATTCACCCCCTCCTTTTAGTCTATGGTGCTGGAGATCAACCAAGGACCTCAGGCATTCACGTTCTACCAATGAACTAAATCTCCAGCAAGACTTAAGTTTTTAATCTTCACCTATCTGCTTCCCTGCACCTGCAGTAACTCTAAACTGTCTCTAAAGTTGCCATGGTTCACTATTATTTTAAAATATGGACCAGGTCCTTTCCTGCCTGCCGATTCTTCAGGGACAATGGTCTTGTACCTTATTGCAGTGGGGAGTCCATTAGCTGAATGATCTTTTGTGTTAGTTAAACATATGACACGATCTAAAAGTAAGGGTTTTTTGTGGCCCATTTATTTTTAAAGATCTGAAATACCGGTTTTGCCTTTTGCCTGTTGAATATTTCAATGAAAACGAAAAGAATGACCTGACACTTTATGTTTCAGTTTTGGGTAAGTGAACCATTTTACACTATATTTTGTTTCCCCCCACTTTAGTTAGAATACACCTGCAGAATAAGTAACAGAACTATGTGAAAAGAGCAACTAGGTCATTCATTATGTTTTGCAGTCCTTTAATAGTTCTGCTGAAAGCAGCTGAAGCCTGGTCAGGGGGTTAACAACGTCCGCTGAGTGTGGTTCCAGACGCTGGGTACACAACAGTAACGCACGGCTTCCTCTCGGCTCTGGTGTTGGAAGACAAATAAGCAGATGTGTGTTAATTTTCAGGCCTTGACAACGTTTATGAGGAATTTAACTCCACCTCCCCAACCAGAATGGGAAACAATGCCCCCATTCCCTCCTTCTGCCTCCTCCCCTTTTCCCTTTGGTCCTCTCCTGTTACAGAAATTCGGATTTTTTCCTAGAGAGAGGAGAGTCAATAATCAGACTGGAGTTATATTATCAGCTTCTTTGTTCTGGTGGGACATCGGAGAGGAAATCTCATTTTGTAACTTGCTGTCCAGAGGGAGTGGACAAATGAATTCCTGAAAACTCCAGCGGCCGCCTTTGGCACCAGATTTGATTGACAGGCACCAGCGGAGGGAAAGCTCCGAGGCGGCTGAGGGCCCCGGCCCCGGCGCAGACAAAGAGGTTTTGGCTGCCACTGAGAGTTGAAGAACCCAGTGTGGGTAAACCGGCCTTTGCGATCAAATAGGGACATTTCCTGAGGTCGCTTTTAGGGCTGGCGATCGGACCGAGGGGGCCTGCAGGAGGAGGGTGGGGCTGGACAGGGACGAGGAAAGGGGGCGCGGGGCCGGGGTGCGGGCAGCCCTGCGATCACGTGGTCGTCCCCGGGGCCGCAGGGCTGGGGCTGTTCTTCCGGGTTGGAGCCGCTGAACCGCCGGGCCCCGGGGTTGCCAGCGCGGCGTGGCGTTGCCTCGCAGCTCGCAGCGCGCAGCCCACGGCCGCCGGGTTCGTGCCCAGGTGAGCGTGGCGGCGCCGGCGGGGCTCGGGCGCGCAGAGAGTGCGCTGGGGAAAAGCGCGGGGCCTGCGCTGCCCACCCAGGGCTCTGGGGGAAGGTGACCTGTCAAACAGCAGAAGGGGCGGGGTCGGAAGCGGGGTGCACTGGGGCGCCCGCCGGCGGCAGACTGTGGCTGGGAAGAAGGAGTACTGTGCTTTCTTGTGTCCTGCAGGAACTATGTGGAAGGGAGTGGGCGGGTGGATTGGGGAGCAGGGACCCCGCAGAGGGCAGGGGATAAGGCGACAGCTGTGTAGGTGCAGATCTTGGAGTTTTTTTGGGGGGTTGGCGAAAGTCGTGTGTGGGGGAGGTGAAGAGAAAGGTCGTGGAGGACTTTCGATGGGCGGTGCATCCAGAAAGAGAGCAGCTGACGTCCCCAAATTGTACTTGAAGCTTGAAGGAGCAAGCTTGAAGGAGTTTGGAGAGCGGGCCAGGCTGGGGACACTGGAGAGAGCGCGCAGAAGTTGAGATTTAGAAGTCGAGATTGTACGTCAAGGCGGATTGAAGGTTGGGGGTGCAAGCTTCTGTGAAGCCGAGGGAGGGGAGAGACTGCCAGGGGGCTGAGGGCTCGGGGGAGAGGGGCCTAGGCAGAGTTGCTTCAAACTCGAGAGGAAGAATGACTGCTATGCAGTCTGGGCAAAAGTACTTCCCAAGGAGGTTATAAATAGCGGTCCAGTGCACGTGCCAGCGGGTGGCAGTTTAGTTGTTTTTTGGGGGGGGAAACCTGTGACACTGACCATGGCATCGGTGGCTTTGGGCTAGGTCACATGGCCTGCTAGGCTCAGCTTGCTGGGTAGGGTATTGTGTCCTTCTGGGTATATGCAGCTTTTAAAAGCATGGCTTGTTTATGCATGCAGGTGTCCTTTATTCGCCCTATGAGGCAGGGCAGTCCTTAGAAGGCTGTTTGTCAGGAGTCTTGAAGGACAGACTATTTTGGAGGGATGGGACTTACTGCTTACCTACTCTTATTGGCTTCTCCTTCGTTGCACCCGTTTTATTTGCAAACCTTGACTGTTTGTTTTTTACTTATTGGAGGGAAGTTTAGGAGAATCATGATATCAACAGGTGTGCAAAGGCTGCTTACCATGGCTGATGGGATCGGTTTTCCTCAAGGCTGTACAAGCATTTAAGTTTTTCTTTTTCTTTCTTTTCTTTCTTTTTTTTTTTTTTGTAGTACTGGGGATTGAACTCAGGGCCTCCTGCTACCTCTACTACTGGAGCATGCCCTAGTCCTTTTGCTTTTAGTTTATTTTTCAGACAGCCTCTTCTAACTTTGCTCTGATTGACCTCTGACTAGGATCTTCTTGTCTCCACTTCTCCAGTAGTAGAGAGGATTACAGGAAAGGACCACCACGCCCTGCCAAATATTTTATTTTCAAAGGAAATTTCATGAAACTCTTTGGACAATGTGTTTAATAGCTACCCAGGCTTCAGCATACTTAGCTGATTTTTCAGTCCTTCTGTCAAAAAGTACTTACTGACTTTTCTATTTTTTTTTGCAAAGCACTAGGCTACAGGTCATACCAAAGTGAATACAAAAGCCTTTGTGAATGTTGTGTTCTTTTAATCATGTCAGCAACCCCAGATCAGGGTGTTTTTTTTTTTTTTAATCCTCAGAGGAACCCTGTGAAGTAGGCACTATTCCCATTTTAAATGTACAGAAATCAGGTACAGAGAAGTTAAGTGACTAGGCAAGATCACACAGTTATTAAGTTGCAGAAAGGACTTCCAATCCAGAGTTCATGCTCTTAGCCTTTAGGCTATTGTCCTTTGCTAAGTGGAGTGTTTGCCCTCAAAGATTTTAATATCGTTAAGGGAGGGCTGGAGGTGTAGCTCAGTGGAGAGTGCTTGTCTAGCATGTGTGAGGCCCTGGATTCCATCCCCAGTCCCACCTGCACACACAAGCATGTGCGATATATTGGGGAGACAGTTACCCATTTAGCTTACATTAAACAGCCATGTGTATGCCATTCTAAAGAAAGTAGTTGCAATTTTTGAGTTGTAGTGTTTTATCATTATTGCTTCGAAGCCACAAAAGCACAGGAATGATTAAACGTTAGGAGATGGGAGAAATGTGACCATTAAGATGGACAGAGCAGTGTCTGGTATAAACATGTTTCGGCCAATGATAAGATGGTTCAGATATTCTCCGACTATCTTTCAGAGCCATTTGTGTTTAATTTAAAGTTAGTGATATCGTCTGCTCTAGTCAGTAAACTCTCTCCTGATCTCTGCCCTGTATGTTTACAACTTGGAAATTTTCTAGAAATTTGTCTCTGAAGGCCTTGGTCCTCTTGGTCTGAAGCCCCTATCAGAGATGTGTAACACATCAAATTACCATTTTCCAAATAGGCAGGACAAATTTTTCTGACTCCAGGCCATGAAATAGAACCTTAGCTTTAAAACATTGCAAAAATCTCATCTAATAAAATTTCCAGATCTTAAAAAGGGCCTTGCGCTACCTTTATAAAAGAGTAGACTGAGGCCACAGAGGTTCAGGTCAGCCAGCAGGGGTGGCAGACTTGGACAGCACTGAGCTCTTTTGGAGCCAGCTTCATTCATTTGCTAATGAGGTCTGGGAATCTTTGTGTGCCTTGTGAGAACAGTGGTTGGTTGGGGAGCTGGAATGGTCCAAGAAGAGAAAGCTAGATAGGTTGGGATAGGAGTAAGTCATTCAGTTATAATAGGAAAAATTCTTCCCTTAAGGCAAGCATTATTATTTATATATAAATAATATGTATTTATATGTGTGTGTATATATATATATATGTTCTTTCTTGGCATAAACTCAATAAATGTTTTGAACATTTGGCTGAAATTTTTTTTTTTTTTTTGGTGGTGGTACTGGAGTTTGAACTCAGGGCCTCACACCCCCAGGTGCTGTATCATTTGAACCACACCTCCAACCCTAAAGTAAAAAGCTTTAGGTTATTTTTCAGGTAGGTTCTCACACTTTTTGCCTGGGCCAGCCTAGGTCTTCAGTCTTCCTACCCATGCCTTCTGTGTAGCTGGGATTACTTATGTGTTCCACCACACCTTGGCTTGTTTGTCTCACTAACTTTTTACTTCACTAGCAGGGGTTACAGGTATGACTCCACCTGGCAACATTTGACTGAATTTTGAACTTGTTTTCTCTTCATTCTCAGATGTGAATAACCGTACATGTGACCCATGAATGAATGAGGAGGGTATTTATTTGACTTGGGTATACTTTTAGGATGAGATTACAGTTGTGGGAAGATTCTGTATATGTAAAGTCATCCATTCAAATGCAAAGGATTGTTTATACACATTTTTAATTGCGTGCCTGAGACATCGTGCACGCTCCTTCTTCCTTATCTTTTTTCTTTTTTAAATTCTGTCCATCTCAAATGCCTTTCACTTTTGTGAACCTTCTAAGAGAACTAGATTGCCTTCTCTTTGGTACATCAAAGAACTTTGAACTTGCTTCACTCTGCTTCATAATATTATTGCTTGTTGATTTTTCTTATCTTCAAGTGGTTGATCCGGTCTTATTTTATTCTACAAGTGTTCCTAGAGGTAGTGTCTCTGAGATTCTGTCCTCAGGCACATATTTGTTGAAGTAAAGAACATTTTAAGAATAAGCACTGCCTGGATCAATAATTTCTGCTACCAATGTTCCTTTTAAGCATTTTATTTTATTTTTATTTTTATTTATTTTATTTATGTTTTTATTATTAATATGTACATACAATGCTTGGGTCATTTGTCCCCCCTGCCCCCACCCCCTCCCTTACCACCCACCCCTTCCCCTCCTTTTTCCCCCCACCCCCTCGATACCCAGCAGAAACTATTTTGCCCTTATCTTTAATTTTGTTGAAGAGAGAGTATAAGCAATAATAGGAAGGAACAAGGGTTTTTGCTAGTTGAGATAAGGATAGTTATACAGGGAGTTGACTCACATTAATTTCCTGTGCATGTGTGTTACCTTCTAGGTTAATTCTTCTTGATCTAACCTTTTCTCTAGTTCCTGGTCTCCTTCTCCTATTGGCCTCAGTTGCTTTTAAGGTATCTCCTTTTAAGCATTTTAAAGAAGCTTCTTCAGGGAGATGAGGCAGCAGTTCTGAAATTAAAAACAAGCTCAATCCCCTTTCCTCCTGAGTCTGAAAGAGTGTTGATGGAGTCTGCTGGGATCCCATGCTTGGGCCCATGAGTGCCTACCTGATTGGATCAGGATTTACAGGCTTAGTGGGTGATGCGAGCCAAGTTTGATGGCTAGAGTTCCAGGTGCTCAGCTTCTTTTCATTCTTGAAGGAAAAAAGAGAAAGGTGGAGGGACATCGGGAATAGTGAGGATGGTGGGAGTGCCTTCCATGCATGCCTGGGGTTCTGCAAAGAGGGTGAGGGAAAGTGCCTCAATAACTGCGAAGGCCAGTGGCACTTTACCTAGCCTTGTTAGAGGTGGCATAAAGGGGCCACTTGTGAGATCTGCTTTCAAAAAAGTTCATGGTTACCCTCACATCTGCAGCACAAGCCTATGTGGAAAAGATATCATGTGATTTTTCTTTCTTCTTTTTTTTCTTGGAGTCATATCCCATGCATGTTTAATTTCCTTGAGAGGTGCACTTGGCAAATGTGTATCTCATGTTCACTTAGTCAGCCTCAGTTCAGGGATCACACTGGCTGAGCAATGGGTAGAATGGCAGTTTCTTTTTTTAAATTAACATATGGTAATTCTACAAAGGAGTTCATTGCGATATTTCCATATGTGCATATAATGTGCTTTGATCAAGTTCACCTCTCTATTACTCTTTCTTATCCTCCTCTCAACCCTCTCCCCTTTGAAACAATTATAATCAGTTTCATTATTTCTATTTTTATACATATGAAGATCAGATTCATCCCTATTATCCTATCCTTTTACCTCCCCACCCTAGCAGTCCCCCTTTTACATTCATGTCATTTTTTTTTTTTTAGGTCTAGATAAGACCTTATCTAGAGAAAGATAAGAGAAAATGTGTGATAATGTGGTATTTGTCTTTCTGAGTCTTGCTTATTTCATTTAACTTGATGATTTCTAGTTACACCCATTTTCTTGCAAATAACAATCTCATTCTTTGTTATGGCCAAATAATATTTCCTTGTGTATATATGCCACATTTTCTTTATCATTTATTGACTGATGGCACCTAGGTTGATTCCATAGCTTGGCTATTGTGAATAGTGCTACTATAAACATGGGTATACAGGTATCTCTGTTGTACCTGTATATGCCCAGGAGTGGTAGAGTAGGATCATATGATAGTTCTAGTTTTAGTTTTTGAGGAATCTCCACACTGATTACACAGTGGCTGCACTAATTTACATTCCCGCCAAGAATGTATCAGGGTACTGTCTCCCCTGCATCTTCATCAGCATTTGTTGTCATTTGTTTTTTTTGATAATTGCCATTCTGACTGATGTGAGATGGAATCTCAGTGTTGTTTTGGTTTACATTTCCTTTATGGCTGAGGATGTTGAACATTTCCTATATATTTGTCAGCCATTTGAACTTCTCTTGGGAACTGTCCAATTTATTTGAATATGGCAATATTTCCTGTACAATCTGGTGGCTAAATGTAATCCACTATAAAATACTATAGTATTTAAATAACTTAGGGGAAATTCAAAGGTAACTTTGACTGTATTTTTGCTTTGACTGTAATTTTGCATATTGATTTAGAAGATACTTTCATGTAAAATGTTATAGGGGTGTGTGTGTGTGTGTGTGTGTGTGTGTATAAACTCTCCAACTACATTAAGGATCAAATAGACTTGTGTGGCTTAGGCTTGGAATTGAATAGTGAGTGAATAACTTCAATTTTAGTTGGAAAGACGATTCCAAGTTTTAAAAACCTGAACTGGAAATCAACTTTTGAATTACCTTCAAGTTCTTTGAAGTAAAAGACCTGGTAAATAATTTTTTTTTGGATGTTTGCATATAACCTTTGTATAAGCTCTTTAGATTATCAGTTTATGTGTTTCTTAATGTTCAAAAGACAAAGTATTTTTTTTTTTTGGCATTTAAATATTTTTCTTTTTCCTTTTCCTCTTAGTGATTTGACTTCAAGGAGAGTGGGGAATTCAAAAAGCCTGGAGCTTACATCAGCATGGCAAGCCTACTGAAAACAGTGGTGACTGGCTGTTCATGCCCTTTACTTAGCAGTTTGGGTCCCTGTAAGGTTCTGCCTGGGAAGAAGAATTTCTTACGATCATTTCATACTCATCAGACATTGTGGTGTAAATCCTCTGTGAAGCCAGGTAAAGTCTTTCTTTGATGTTTGCTTCAAGTCCTGGGAATTCATAGATCTCTTGATGATAGGTAAAAGCATCTTTCAATTTCATGGCCTGGTGCTTGTGAGTGATTATTTTAAATTAAAAAAAACAACAACAAATGAGTGTTGTCTTATATTTTCCATGTATAGAACTTCCTGATTGCCATTTCTAACAGAGAAGAAAAAAATAATAGAAAAAGATAAAGTAGTTGAACTGTACTTGAAAAACAGTTGCTCATTTCTCTGCAGCCTTCTCTTGAGCCTCGATAACATTGCGGAATTGTATCATATATAACTCAGCTCTGCTCAGGAATTGGGAATTAATTGATTAATATTAGTGTTTCTTAATTTAGCAAATAGCAATTTCATTGCAGTTGTTCAGGTCAGGAATCTCCATGTTGGCGTCAACCAATGTGTTTTGAGTAGGTGTAGGTCATCTCTACTTTGTATCTTGATTCTATCCTCTTCTCCCCATTGCCACTTTTATCATATCATCTTTATCTGCCACTGGACTGATACATCAGTTTCTTAAATTGTCTCTGCTTTCTCCCTTTGCCCCCCTACAGGTTGTTGTTCACATGACATTGAGAATAAGCTTTTTAAATTGTAAGATCATGTTACTTCTCTCCTCAAAATTCACTACTGGCATCCCAGCTCATATAGAGTGAGAGTGAGATTTATTAGTGGCCTGTAATGTATTCCCTGGTATGACCCTCACTTTCTTCTGTTCTGGGATATAGGCCAGAGGAGAAGGGCTAAAAGGAGGCCCTTTTAAGCTTAGTCGCCTTCATTTTAGCAGTCTTCCAAAGACCATCCCAGCACTTTTATGTATCCCTCATTGGCTAGACCTCAGGAATGTGGCTGTTTGTGAGGAGGGAGACTTGGATATTTAGTCCTTTATTCTAGATGGCAGCATGCCCAGCTAAAAATGGCATTCCATTGCTAAAGTGCAGGATGTGCTGCACAGCATGGATGTGCTCTTTTGCATTTTTTAAGTTTTAGGGCTGTTGTCTGTTCTGTAAGGACCCTTAAGCTGCTAGGCATTTTGAGTTCTTATGTCTGCCTTAAAATAGATTTCAGAGCCTCTTTTTTCTTTTTGTGGTACTAGAGATTAAGACTTGGGCCTTGTACATGCCAGACCAGCACTCTATCACTTGAGCTGCATCCCCAGCTCTAGGTCTCATAGCCTCTTGTTCTCAGGTGACAAGTTACTGTTGGCAGAGTACCTTTCCCCAAAAGCCCTCAAATTTAGCTTCAGATATTTTGTATTACGCTGCTCTGGAAAGCCAGTTATCTAGTATGACAAAATTGTGTATAAAATAAAAGCAAGTAACTGTTGAGGATGTGAGAATTGTCCTTGTGAGTAAATCTATGAACTTTAATATCTCCATATTAATATATATATAAGACTTTTTTGGATTGATTTCTGGTTCTCATTTCCTAGATAGTTATTTTTTGTCTGTAAATGATAGGATTCCTTAATAAATATAACCAGTTTCATTACCCCAGTGAAAAGCATGAAAAGTAATTCTAGTCAGTGTTCATGTTTTCTCAGTTGCTTCTTTTCTCTTTTATTCTTTCTTTTTCACGGTTGACTTGTACAGAGGATGACCCAGACAGATGTCTATATATTGTATTTGCTTGCTGTCTCTCTTTCTTAGGTCTCTTTTGATAGATTTCCTGTACATTTTTTTTCTTTTTCCCAGTGCTGGGAATTGAACCTTGGGCCTGAAGTATACTAGGCAAGCACTTTACCTCTAAATTACATCCCCAGTCCCCCCCTCCACTTTTTTTCCTTTTAATTTACTCGTTGAAGAATTTAGTTGTTACACTGTAGAATTTCCTATGTTTAAAGTTTGGCTGATTAAATTTTGTTTAACCAGTTTCTATTTCTGGTATTTTCTGTAACATTTGGCTAGATCTGGAGGCTCAGTCAGACCCAGGTTTATCTCTTTGCAAGAATACTTCATTGGTAGTGCTATGGACTATTGCATTGCATCAGGAAGATAACTCAGTGAGTTTGGGATCTATCACACAATCTATCAGGGTTGTTTTTTTTTTTTTTTGTACTTTGAAGCCATAGCAGTGATTTGACTATGGTCAGTAACTGAATCTGTGATTTTTTTGGAGTTTCAAAATGGTAATAATTCCATTATTCCATCTTCATTTGTTAGCTAGAATGTTTCTAAAAGAAAAACTTTTTCCTTTGTTACTTAGTTACATTGAGATTATACTGGAAAGATGGGATAAATGTTCTTTCTCATTCTTTATAAGTTTGCTAGTAATCAGGTGGTTCCCTTATATAATAGTTTCCTCTTTCTGTTATAACAAATAAAACAAACCTAGTAACTTCATACAACACAAATTTATTTTCTTATACTTTTAGAAGTCAAAGTCCAAAATGAATCTTGCTGGGCCTAAATCAAAGTATTTCTTTTGGAAGCTCTCGGGGAGAATCTGTTCCTTGCCTTTTCTAGTTTCTGGAGAGCACCTGTATTTGTTGGGTTGTAGCCTTTTCTTCCATCTAATGTAAAGTGTTAATGTATAAGCAGTATGGGAATCTAAGACTGTATTTGAATTCAGGTATTTTTAGGCTGGCTTAATCTCTTTAATGTCCCAATAAATTACTCTATATTGATAATTCAGCTAATTTTTCATTATATATATATATATGTATATATATTCAGAGTTAAGTTGCAGGAGTGGATTTCTTAAATTTTAGTAAAGCTTATATAGAAAGCTCTGTTTTCAAAAAGATGCCCGTCTTTTAGCTCAAGCTGGCCTGAACCATCTGTAAATATAACCTATATTACGGGATCTTTTGGATTGCAGGAACAGAATCACATCAGGTTTTAGTCTGTGATGAGAGTTTATTGTGTGGATTCTTGGGAAGAATGGGAACCCAGGAAACCCCTCATGTACTTCTTGGAGAAGTGGAATGTCTTTCTGGATTCATAGCTATGACTCATCTTCTCTCTTTAAATATCCACTACTGCTATGTCTACCACCATTGCTACTGACCTCCCATTGATTGACTTATGGCTTTGCTTACAAATAACTTCAGTACCATTCTACTCTCCTTTTCTCTTTCTGTGTGTCTCCCATTCAACTCCTTCCCTGCTTCCTCTAGAAAAGTTGATTGGGTTGAGTAGTCACTGGCCAGCACAGTGCCTTCCAGCACAATTCCCCTATAAGTCATATCAGAGGCTGGGCTGCTGGCTTTCCTCATGTCTGTCCTATAGATTGTTGTCTTTGACCTAGTTGATGTCTTGTCTAATCAGTTGCTTAATTATGTAGAGTCTCAAGATACAACACTTGGAAATTTTTGAGGAATTGCCTGTGGTGAAATTGCCAGGAAAGGGACTTTGGATGTGGTAGGCCACCAAAGTATATAGGACTATTCTTCAAAGCAGCAATTTATTTAAGATTATAATCCTAGAGAGTTAATTTAGTATGCTGTGCGATCTCTCAGCTCATTTTTTTTTCTCCTAAAAATAAACTAAGCTTGTCATGTGCCTTAAAGAGAGCCATTTGATTGAATAAAATATTTAGAAGTTTTAGGAGAGTGGGCATAAAAATTTCTCATCTTTCAAAAAGGGTAAATGAATTATGATTATGAATCGTCATTTTGAATAGCAACTTGAGTGCAGTAATTATGAAGGACAGACTTCTCATTTCCACTTCCTGAAATCTGTTACTCAACCTTATTTATTTTTTTGTAGGAATTCCATATAAGCAACTGACTGTTGGAGTCCCCAAGGAGATTTTCCAAAATGAGAAGCGAGTGGCATTGTCTCCAGCTGGTGTTCAGGCCTTAGTCAAGCAGGGTTTTAATGTCGTTGTGGAATCGGGTGCCGGTGAAGCTTCTAAGTTCTCAGATGATCACTACAGGGCAGCAGGAGCCCAAATCCAGGGGACGAAGGAAGTGCTGGCTTCTGACTTGGTGGTCAAAGTAATTAATCCTGTTCTTTCTCTCATTTATAGCATGCTGACTCTTTGACATATTTTCATAGAAAAATAACTTTAAATAATTTTCTGTGGTGTTAAAGCTTTTCCAGTGTTTTCTTTTTTATAATTGACACATGATAATTTTCCTTATTTATGAGGTGTGATATTTTGAGACATGTGTACAATGTGCAATAATTAAATCAGGGTAATTAGCATACTCATCACTTTAAACATTAATCATTTCAACTTTTCCTATGTTCAAATGATGCCCTTTTTCCTCAAAGAAAGGATTGTGTCATGAATATTCCTCATGCCGTGGTAGAACTTCTATCAGGCAATATGATGTATGTTTAACGATGAGAAGAGAAAAAGTGATCTTTATTTTTACATTTGCTCTGTGGAAATTCCCTTTTAGTTGACTAGGGAAAACTTGCACTACGTGGTCCATCTGTATCCGGAATACCCACAGGCAGGTATTTAATGACTGCTAGGATGGAAAGAAGGTGTGGAACCCAGCCTGGGACTCACTGTACAGTATCTGATACTTGAAGGCGCAGTGATTTACACTGACGTAATGCTATTTCTAGATGGGGCCTGTTTTGAAGACAGCAGCATTGGACTGAGTGGCTAGTAGCCTTGAGGTCTTGAGGTAATGGATAGTAGAAATCTATATGTTAAAGAACATCGGAATTAAACTATGAAGCAAAAAACCACATAAAGAAGGAGAGACTGTATCAAGAGTCTAGCACAGATAATAAGCAGAGCTGGGCATTAAATTCAATCTTAAATGTCCTACAACTAAGGCAAACAGGGAAATATAAAGGAGGACAGATGCTGAGCGTCTCAGCTGAGCATTTGATAGGGGCCAGTCCAGTAGAATCAAGTCAGAGTTGACCTCTAATTCTACTAAAATGTATGTTAGGTTTTCATGGAGAAAAAATAGACCTTGTGAAAGAGGTTTTTTTTTTTGTTTGTGTGTGTGCTGGGAATTAAACCCAGGACATCAAACATACCAAGCAGGTGCTCTACCACTGAGTCCACTGAGTCTTAACTAAAGTCCTCAACCTAGAATCACATGCATTACCAGGCTAACACCTGAAATGGGAATAACAGACAAAGGTGTTTTATAGGTTAGTTGAGGTGAAATGCTGTGGTAGGAAATGACTGAGCAATTGTTTGTGTTTGTATTTAAAACATAAGTCCCAGAGGCTGTGTTTCTGTGTTTACTTGCCTAAAAGCATTACTGCAAGGTGGGAACTAATGAAGTTTAATGAAACTTGCTTGTGGTACTGGGGATTGAACTCAGGGCCTTGTGCTTGCATTCTACTATTTGAGCTATAAATCGCCCCCCACCACTCCTTGTCCTTTTGCTTTTTCAATTAGTTTTTCAGATAGAGTCTCATGCTAACTTTGTCTAGGCTGGCCCAAAACCTTGGGCCTCCTTTCTCTGTCTCTCAAGTAGCTGGAATTACAGGTGTGCTCCACCAGGTCTGGCCTGAAACTTCTTAACATAACAGAATATAGTGTGAATTTTTGCTTAAGCCCAATTCAGCAAAGCTACTAGTTTGAACTGTGTTTGCTTATAGTCATCTGGAATTTTAAGGTGACATAAACCTATTCTTACTGCCATGTAAGTCTTTAGTTTACATCATTCCTAATGCCTCAGTACTCCAAATGTTTATGCTTGCCAAAATTAGCAAGATCGAATCTTTAAACACACAACAAAATCTTCCTGTGTTTATTCTAATCTCTCTTAATTTTAGCAGAGTAATAGGTTTTGGGAGAACAGGTTTGTTGTAAAGCCTCCATATTATTTCAAACCTGACTCAGTGTTGTGTACTTCCCTGGCGTTCTTTACACACAACATTCCGTAAGTCCAACAGCGTGTCTTACCTTGCTTAAGAAATTAGGCAGACATTTATTGATGAAAGATTTTCTTCTGCAGTATTATTTCAATGATGGCGTATTATCTAAATTGTCCTGTTCAAAAATATGATGAAGGTAGTTATATTTTTAATCTGTGATTTGCCTTTCTTTTCAGGTACGAGCCCCCATGGTTAATCCAACATTAGGTGTTCATGAAGCTGACCTTTTAAAGACATCAGGAACATTGATTAGTTTTATTTACCCAGCCCAAAATCCAGACCTGCTAAATAAACTATCCAAAAGAAAAACTACAGTTCTGGCAATGGATCAGGTTCCAAGAGTCACAATTGCTCAGGGATATGACGCTCTGAGCTCCATGGCTAACATTGCTGGGTAGGTTGATTCTTTTTCCATTTTAGTTGAACAGAAGTGACATACAGACATTCACATGTAGCTTTTCTCTCTCCCAGTAATTTACCTTGTAATAATTGTTGGAGATTTTTGTTTCACAGTGATCATCACATAGGTAATGAACTCTATTATATACTTCTTTTTATTTTTCATGGGTAGAGAGAAATAATATTTGCATCTACTAAAGGAAATACCTATCAAGTTATTTGTGTGAGGAATACTCTGTATTTTCATGTGTGTGTATGTACCTGTGTGTTAGATTGAAATTGCTGTTTTCTTTATGTTAAAAATGGTTGAATACTGTCAGTGTATGTGGTTAAAAGTAATATAGGTTAAGTATCCATGGAAAACTTAGCACCAGAATTGTTTTTGATTTTTTTCAGATTTTGGAATATTTGTACACATAAAATGAGATATCTGGGGGATGGAACCCAAGTCTAAGCATGAAATTCATTTATGGTTCATATTTACTTTACACACATAGCCTGATGGTAATTTTATAAAATATTTTAAATAATTTTATGCATAAAACAAAGTTTGTATGTTATAGCTGAAGGGTCTTTTTTTTAATTCCCTTCCCCTTGGGGATGTTGAAAAACCTGTGTTGGGCATCTGTATTTTGTGACACATCCCATGAGGTCCATTGTGGTCATTTTACTTGTGGTATCATGTCAGTGCTTTAAGAGTTTAGAGTAGGATTAGGGATGCTTGATTGTACATACACATTAGCTGATTGACCATCTTTTTTCTTTTCTTTTTTTCCTCTTCTCTTTTCTTCCCTTCCCTTCCTCTTCCTTTCCTTTTCTTCCATTTTCCTTTCCTTCCTCTTTCCTTTCCTTCCCTTCCCCTCCCCTTTCCTTTTCCATTCACCTTTCCCTCCTCCTCCCTTCCTTTTCTTTTCTTTTCCTTTCTTTTCTTTTAAGATAGGATCTTGCTATATAGTCCAGGCTGTCCTAGAACTCACTGTGTAACCTAGACTGTCCTCAGTCTCACAGTCCTTGTGCCTCAGCCTCTTGAGTGCTACCACACACCCATGTTGACCATCTTAATTAGGTTTTGTTTAGGTATATTCATAAACGAATGAATAGAGAAAACATCTGTAGTAGCTGAAGTTTTGTCTGGTGTCAAAGTCCTTATGTGTAAGTGAGGGCTATGTCCTCTTACCTGGGAGGCTACGGTGATGATTATCTTCTTTTGCCTGCTAGCACTGGTTACTTTGCTTTTTATTGTCTGTAATGCTATGTAGAAAAGGATTGTACAGGTATTCTACTCAGAGGCAATCATGCCTCTGTCATGTTGTGAGGGAAAGAAATAACTGTGATTGCCATGTATTGCTAATTTCACTTGAGGAGGTAAGAAGAGTCTGGAAATAGGGTAATGCTTATGAAATCAACTTCTCTAGAGAACTAATTATATTAGATTTTAAGCATGAAGGCTATTAGTTGTAGACAATTTGCTAATGTGAATGAGGCACCAATGAAAGAAACTATTAAAATAAAAAATAGTGCATGTAGAGACTAATATGAATGGTCTTTTACAGACTGATACATGATCTGAAAGTTTTCTTAGGTTTTATATTTAAGAGGTAGCATATCAAACATGCCACAGAATCTACTTTGTACTTCAGTGATTTGCTTTTTATATGGATGAGATGCCATAACCAAAAACGGCAAGTTAAAAACCTCTTCCTTGTCCTTAATGTAATATAGCAAAAGGCTTGTTTGAAGATATTGTTTATGGTGTAAATAATATGCCAAGAGACAAAATAAATTGTTGCCATATTTATTTTGCATTGTAATGCATTGTGGAACTTAAAATTTTATATGGAAAATAGTCAATGTGAAGTTTTAAGGGTTCTGTTGATTTTGTCATCTGAAATGCAAATAAGTGAAAGAATCTCAAAACCAGTAGCTCTAGAACAGTGGTTTTGGCTGCAGTCTTTTGAACATATGAAATGTTACGAGTGTGTATTTCTGAGTGAGAATGTACCTTATTTTTAAATATAAAATTATGTGACAATGAGATGAGTATAGTATATTTAAAATTCCTATTAAAGAAAAGGTGGTGCAGACTATTAGTTTTTATTGCATAATTTGTTTCTTTAAAAGCCAAAGCACTTAATATTTAATCTAGCATTTACTATATGACAGACATTATTTCATTTGGTCTTATAACTCTCAGTGATAAATGCTCTTCTTGTCTCCATATTATAGATGAGGAGACCAAGAACTAAGAATTTGTCCAAGTTTAGAAAGTAAATCAGTTAGTTTGTCCTAAAATCTCAGGTTTTCAACAAAAGTTGGAGTCTCCCACCCCATTGTAAAAGTGGTACATAGTCATCAAAGAAAATTTGGACAACATAGAAAAGTAAAAGGCAAAATTTGAAGGGTGCATTGTTAGCATTTTCATGTCTTTCTTTCTTTACTTTTTCTATCTCAACTGATCTACTGCAGCATTTGTTATGAAGAGGCGGGTAGCATCATGGGTAAGAGTGTGTCTCCATAAGCAGGCTGCCTGGGCTGGACTTCTAGCTCTGCTATTACTAGTTGAGTGACTTGGGCAAGTCTATTCATTTCTCTGTCTCAGTTTCCTAACTGATGAAATGAAAGTAATAATTATACATATCTAGAGGCTCCTTGTTCAGGTTAAAGGATTAAGTATATATATATATATACATATATAAGTGTGTATATATATATATGCATATATATATATACATACACAACACTTAGAACTATTGTCTGCACATAGTAAATGCTATATTACTGTTAGCAATTAGTCTCATTCTTAAAGCATAATTGAAAACTTGTGATAATATATAAGCCTGAGATCTTTCATTTTATGGAATTGTCTGTTATTTATTTTTTTAAGTTATAAGGCCGTTGTCCTAGCAGCAAATCATTTTGGACGGTTTTTTACTGGTCAGATTACAGCTGCTGGAAAAGTTCCTCCAGCTAAGGTAGGTACAACTTTTAATTTTTCTTCATAATACAAATTAATTAAAAGTAAGAAAAATATAGTTTTAAAATGCAGTTATTTGTAAGTTTTGTTGTGTGTTAGTTTCACTGGTGACTTCTGTGGTATTCGTACATTTTTAGTGGATTGTCAAAGCTGAATATTTAGGATTGCTTGAAGGGCTCAGGGCATGGCTCAGGTAGTATGGCGCTTGCTAAATGTGAGGCCCTGAGTTCAGGTACTAACTGCTAAAAAAAAAAAAAAGTTTATTTGGTACAGGGCATAGCTCAAGCAAGTGCAAAGCCCTGAGTTCAATTTCTAGTACTGCCACAAAAAGAAAAAAACAAACAAACCTTGCTTTAAGGAAATGAATTTTGACTTTTCTGGAAGTTCTAGTCTTTTTTTTCTCCCCACCCTTTCTGTTTTTTACCTACTAACCTGAATTCATAAAGGGATTTGGATAACTTAGTTTGTGGGTATAGGTATGTTTACTACCATTGAAAAAAAGCTTCAAGATACTGTTCAACAAATTCTGACATTTAGTTCACAGGAAAGACTTTTTTTGATTTCCCCACTCTCTTTGTTAATTTTTGGGTCAAGAAAACAGAAAACTGGAGGTGGTGTAATCAGGGCACTTGGCAGAGGGCAAGAGGGCTGCGGGGCTTCTTCTTAACTCTAGATTGGGAGCTGAGAGAAGCAGTTAGTAATGAAAGGTGTGGATGGCTATGCAGAAGAATAGGGGATTATATTGTGACCCTTAAATAATAATATAGGCCCTGAGACTAATCACCTAATAGTTAAATACCAAAGCAGCTTTGAGAAATCTAGTCATATATTGCTTCAAAAAATGGGCCAGGAAAGAGAAAAAAGCAAGTGGTTTAAATGGAGGCCAGAGTATTTAGCAAGAAAATATGAGCAAACAACCTAGATATGATATATGAGATAGTAAATTTCAGTTTCTTTTTAGGATCATAAGGAAACATCTGGCTCTCAAGGTGGCCAACATCTTGATGCAGTTCTTAAACTTGGCTGAACACTTTGATGCACAAATCCACACTCAGCTTTGATTAGTCTTTCTAGAAATATGTGGAAGTTGAGCTGTGGTATGTGATCAAAAAGTGAAACCAAAGATAAGAAGCTTAAAGGCAGGAGAGTGAGGGAGCTTTTAAAAGGTAGAAAAGTGATTATCTTTCCTAGAATTTAAATTTGGCTTAGCTTATACTCTCTCTTCAATAAAATTAGAGATAAGGGCAAAATAGTTTCTGCTGGGTAGCAAGGGGGTGGGGGGGGCAAGGGAGGGGTGAGGGAAGGGGGGAGAAATGACTCCAACATTGTATGCACATATGAATAAAAAAAAAAGAAAATGGCTTAGGAAACCACACTGAAAAAGAAAGTTAAAAAAAAAAAAAAAGAATTAGACAGAGAGGCTGGTGCAATAGCTCAAGTGGTAGAGCACCTGCCTATCAAGTGCAAGGCCCCAAGTTTAAACTCTAGTACCGCAAAAAAAAAAACCCACAAAAACCCGAACAATTAGACAGCAGTTGGGCCCATCATGTATAATATTTTGTTTGGGTTTTTTTAATCATAGAGGCTTTGGCTTATGATATGCGAGGCATTGTTCTAGGAGCTGCAGACATGACCTGAATAAGACAAACGGTAATCTTGCTGCATAGAAGTTCCATTCACAGTGTGGATGCACGTTAACAAAAAACAGATGAAAATATTAAATAATTTTAGAAATAAACTTTAGATATAAATGAGATAATGATGAATAATAAAAACATGTCAACTGCATAAGTTAGAGATTGGGGAAGCCTTCTTTGACATTTGAACAGAGACTTGAAGGATGGGGGAGAAAGAAACCAGGAATTTAGGATGCTAGGCAAAGGGAATAGGACATATAAAGATCTTGAGATGGGATGGAGCTTAGTGTGTCCTAGAAAAATAAAGGCTGTTGTCCTTGGAGTGTGGTGAACAAGGTGGAGGGTGATCTGAGGTGATGTGGGGAAGGAATGTCTGACAGGATTATGTGGAGCATCTCTCACAGGTCATGTTATACAATTCAGATTCTCTTGTAGGTGAGAGAAATATCTCATTCAGGATTTAAAAAAATCTGGCTGTCCTAGGGGGTGGGGAACAGATAGAAGTGAAAAGAGCAGGATCAGTTAGGAGTTGGTTGTACTGGGAAGAGAGTGGCAACAGAGATATGGAGAAGGGGATGACCTGGGGGTGGTTTATGGGGGTTTAAACCAGGAGTGCTTATTGATGGACTGGAACTGGGAATCTGTGCAAAGGGAGGATTCAAGATGACCTTTCCATTAGGACTAGAGCAATTGTGCAGGGTTAATGCTTTGAGCCTGGGAAGCAGAGAGGAGGAGCAGGGCAGCTGACCCAATGTCAACATTCCTACAGGTAGTTCCTTTCTCTTGTTGCTTTCCCTGTGACTTTTTAAATGTATGTCTACACCGTGCCAGTTAGCAGTTAAGTGCTGTTAGTTCCTGTCATTTAATGTAAAAACGTTCCAGAAGGCATTTTGACTGCTGTATTGCAGATGCTAAGCAACTTGTTCAAGATCACCCAGAGCTCATTAGTGAGGATCATGATCGCAACCTGAGCTCACTCAATCTTTGTGTCTTTTTCTTCACCCCTTGCTGGAGAGAAAGAGTAAATTTCTAATGTAGCATCTACATTGTTTTACTGGTGTGTAATTCTGTCTTTTAAATTATGGTGTCTCTTCATATATATATATATATATATATATATATATATATTTTTTTTTTCAAATTTAAGCATGTTTTTTATGTTGAAAATATAGGGTAACTTTTATGTGTAGCATGATGTTTTGAATACATATAAATTGTAGATGGTTAAATCTAGCTAACTGACAGGTGCATTACCTCATAGTTATCATTTTTGTGGTGAGAGCACATGTCTACATTTTTCTAGAATATGTGATCATTAACTCTAGTTATCTCTCTGTGGAACAGATCTTTTGAAATTGATTCCGCCTAACTGTAATTATGCATCTTTTCTTTTTTCTTTATTTAATTTTTGAGGTTGGATTTTGCTATATAGCCCAGGCTGGCCTGGAATTCTATATGTAGTCCTGGCCTCAAACCCATAATCCCTCTCCTTGTCTCAGCCTCCCAAGTTCTAGGATTTTGTGCATTCTTGTTATTTCTGAATTCAAGATAATTGCCCTAATTCTGTGATCTTTACTTATTTAATGTCACTTTTTTTAAAAGTAGCATTGAAACTTTTGTGTAGAATAGAGTTGGTGTTTTGCAGCCTAGAGCCTACTTGTTCCCTCTCTGTCTGCATTCTGATCGATTTCTCCCTCCCCCCAGCCCATCCTTCAGACAATCCACCATCATCAGGATCAATTGACATGATCTCTGAGGCACTGCCTACAGGTCACTGGGGTGCACAATTTTTAGATTTTTATAATTATTTTTATACTTTATTAGCATGTATTAAGTGTACAAAGGGGTTTCATTGTGATATCTCCATACATTCATGCAATGTACCCTGCTCAAATTCACCCCCTTTATCCTTCCTTCTCATCCTCCCACGCCCATCTTAACAATCTCAACAGTTTTCATTCATGGGAGCACACAGCTTTGAGAAGCCTAGACTTCTTAAAAAAGCAGAAGGAGATGTGGGCATGAAGGGTGGGTAGGTATTTATAAGCTTCACTATTTCTATGGGTAGATTTTTTTTTCTACAGGAACAAGGAGTTTCCTTCAATTGACTGTTTAGGATGTATAACAGGAATATTTTTTGGTCTGGAAGGCCCTTTCCAGACCAAACACATCATTGTTCTCAGTATATTTCTGTGAAGGCAGAGGAGGCTCTTGTTTCTGAGGAATTCTTTGATTCTCTTGGCTGTGATCCTTCCATGGTTAGGTAGATTAGTTACAGCACTTCAGATTTCAGGTATTCATTCAAAATGATTCTGAATTATGTGGTTGGTCTCCAGCTGTTTTACTCAGAAGCTCAAAATAAGAGTTGGGGTAAATGTTTCACCAAATTTGTGCCCATCTTTGAAACATGTTTTGGTATTTTTGTGAACACAGAAAAACCTTAGAATCTGAGAGGGGAGAGATAGTTAGGATGCCATCCTGAACATAGAAGAAGTAACTTGTACAGTGAGAATGAACTTGTAAACTTTAACATGTGTAACACTGATTGTGCTCAAGTAGCTTTTACTCTGAGATGCTGATTGTCAGGCTATTTTTAGTGAATTTTGGTGGTCATTGTCAGCAGTTATTCCCTTGATAAATTTTTAAAAACAATGGTGGTTCAGCTAAAGAATAGTTTGTCTTTCCCATTCATGTATGGAGGGCTGATCACCACCACCACCACCACCACTACCATCACCACCATTTATTAATGGTGGCACCAGTAGTTGTTAACTGGTGATCTTTTATAATCAATTGATAATGAACTTTAATGAAAACATAATTGGTTCTCTCTTCTTTCCCAGATTCTGATAGTTGGTGGTGGTGTTGCTGGACTCGCTTCTGCAGGTGCAGCCAAGTCCATGGGTGCAATTGTCCGAGGATTTGATACGAGGTGAGCGTTTCACTAGTGATTGTCATTGTGTTGACAACATTTTATTTCAAATGGGTTCTATTATATTTTCCTTGGAATTATAAATTGTAATAGCTCACTGAAACTGTCATGTAAACTTTTTCAATTTGAAAATGTTTCTATTTTTTTGTATTTTAACTATTTTTCATTAGCACATATTAATAGTACAATGAGGTTTTATTGTGATAATTTCATAGATGCATACAGTATACGTTGAACAAGTTCACCCCTCTATTGTATTGCCAAGTTAAGTGAAAATGTCTTACTTAGTGGAAAAAAAATGAATAGGCACAGCCTCAGTACAGCAGAAATAATAAAGAAAAGATTTGAAAACTTAACAACTTATAGTTCTTTTTTTTTTTAATTGTGGTACCGGGGCTTGAACTCTGGGCCTATACCTTGAGCCACTCCACCAGCCCTTTTTGTGTTAGGTATTTTTTTCGAGATGGAATCTTTGAACTGACTGCAATCTTCCTGATCTCTGCTTCCTGAGTAGCTAGGATTTCAGGTGTGAGCCACCAGCGCCCAACTCATAGTTCTTTCTTTGTGTGGATTGGCGATGAGACTAGAGTTATCTGTGTCCTGAGTTTCTTTGTTGCTTGTCTATGTCCTGTTTCTCTTCAGAATCTTTTAGGCCCTAGGTAGGGTGTGAGCAAAGCTGTCTGAATACAAGGAAAGACAGTGGCATAGGAGCCATCTCAGCAGATAGAGTGTGGAGTGTGCCCTGCCTTGAATGAATGGAAGCTTGGGCAACAGGTGCAAAGCACTTTTCACCTAAGAGTAGTAACACATGAATTATTATGTTTGCATTATTGATATTAAGGTGCCTGCTTTGAATGTAAAGAGAGAGTTGAATGTCTTGATCTGATAATTTTAGAGCCTCCAAGTACTTACCTATATTCATTTTATATTTCTCTAAAGCAAGTATATAAACATTTTCCTAGATTATCGTTAAAGAGAAGTTTGACTAAAATTTTCTTCACTGCTGAAGACACTCGACAGTGGTTTTTAAGAAATGCTCGTTGAGTACTGTGATTAGCTAGGTGTTGCAGTACTTTTTGAGGTTGAAGCAGGTGGTTATTTATTAGCAGCTGAGGGCAGTGGAGGAGTAATACTATGGCCAGTCTCTTTCATTCATTTGCCTCTGGTGCTGGGGATTGGACCCTGGGCCTTGTGCATGCTAAGCACATGCTCTGTCACTGAGGTGCAGCCTTCTGCTGCCAATCTGGAATGCAGAATGAAAAAAAAGAGAAAGATTACAATTTGAGAAGTGTGACTTTTTAGGATAAAGAATGGTTTTATAGAATATGGTCAACAGTCCTTACCTGGAGTTTGGAGAGGTGATGTGCTATAAAAACTGCCCTACTAAAATGAGAAAAATAAGGCATTTCCCAAATAACCAGGTCATAAACTCAGGAGAGCCAGGCTAAACATGTCAATAGTCCTGTCTTTTCATTTGTAATGTTTGCTGATATGAAGACTTTTCCAGACCTTCAAGCCTTTAGAAAGCAAGTTCTTTATATTTTTATCATACGGGACAATAGTATTAAAGTAGAAATGAATATATTTGACTCAAGGATGATTTGAAACTTGGTGGTGGGTGAAATACTGAGAATTTAGTATATTGATGGTGGATAGATTAGGGCTGTTGCTTAACTCTACTTTTATTTATAACTTATTAAGTTTATTATACAGGCAACTCAAGTATACAATGAAGAGAGGTGTGGCTGAAGTGATATTACCTGGTCATTATTTGGAGACTAGGGTTTGATATGTTATAAACATGAGATCCAAATGTATTAGAAAACATACTTGATCGTAAATTCTTATTTACAGGAAGATTGAATGATGTATTATTTTTGTTAAAAATTCTGAAAATTTAAGGATAATTCATTGCTTACTGAACTAAGGAGTGTGATTTTTGAATTCTTTCAAATAGTAACTAGGAACTGGGTAGGTAGCTCAGTGGTAGAGCACATGATAACATGCATAAGGCCCTGGGCTCCTCCCTGGCACCAAAAAGCAAACAGAAGCCATCACTACAAGATTACCCTTCTAACAATAGCAATTATCTTACCTAATGCCTATATTACAAAGTTTAAAAATATAAGCTTGACTTCTATTTTATCATAAAATAACACATGATTATTAACCACTCAGAAAAAAATATAAAAATGAAAACACCCTTAAAGTCCTGCTGCCTAGAGGTAACTATTAACATTTTATATATTATATTTTATAATACATTTTACATGTTACACATTTAATGTATATTCCCTTTTCTACATACTAATTAAAAATGTAATTTTGCTAATAATACTATTTAACTTTTTCTATCTAAGAGTGGATCATGAAGATCTTTCTTTACCTGTAAATATTTTTAATGACTGCATAGGATTCTATCATATTAGTGATTTATTTAATTAGTCCTCCAAAATGGACATTTTTTTGCTATATATAAATGGTACTGCATATATGAATACATATGTATATGTATTTATGATGTATATCTGTGTTATTTATAAAATAATATTACATATATCTATATCCATTTATTTCTCTCTCTCTCTCCAGGAACAATATGTTTGGAGATATTTTATTATTTCCTTAGGAAATTCATAGAAATGGAATATTGGTGTCAAAGACATACACATTTTAATTTTGATATAGTGTTTTTACATGAGATTATTTTGTGAGCAAAGATTCCAAAATAGCATGTTCATTATTGAAAATGCAAAGAAACATAAGGAAGAAAATGAAACTACCTTTTATAATTTACCATCCATATATAATTGTTAATAATTTTTTAGTGTTATTTCTTACAAACTTTTATATATATATAATATATATACACACACACATACACACACTTTTTGTATAAAATTGGAATCATTTTATACATGTATGTAATACATCATAAGATATGTATATATCATATAACATGTATCAGATAATTACAAAGATTTTAGGTTGATCTTATTTTTTATTATTATTAATAGACATTTCAGAAAATTAATTTTTTCAGTACTGGGGTTTGAACTCAGGGCTTCATTCTTGCTAGGAAGGTGCTCTACTGCTTGAACCATACTTACAGCCTCATTGATTATCTTTGGTTGCAGTCCTCCTATTTGTGCTTCCTTGGGTAGTTGGGATGTAGCTGCACATCCAGCATTGGTTGAGATGAGGTCTCTGGAGCTTATTGCCTGGGCTGGCCTTGAATCAGGATCCTTCTGATCTTTGCCTCCTGAGTAGCTAGGATTATGGGCTTGAGCCACCTTACCCTGCCAACATTTCTGAAACTTTAAAAAGAGTCGAATCTCTGTGGATGTAAGGAATGGAAAACACCAACTTAATTAGCTTAAGCCGTTGTCTTTCCTAACTGAAAATTGATGGTAATGACTCCCTTTTCACACTGGAGTCACTAACTCATTGGTGATATGAAAAACCTGTTCTTTATGGCTCCTCTTTTCTGCCCTCAGCTTTGGCTTTTCCATTTGTGGTTGCAACTTGACCTGCATGGGTACTTTTGGCTACCAGAAACCTTGTTCAAGCCAGTAGAGAGAGAACCTCTTGCTTAATAATGGACTGTGTATCCTATTCTTAATACAAACACCAGACTATGAAGGTGGCTAGGGATTTATTGGCTCAGATCATGGTTTCCCAAATTTCCCTGATGACAAGAATGACCTGCTGCTCTTGCTAAAAATATCACTTCTGGCTACTGTGCTAGACATTATGATTCAGTGGTTCTGGGTAGGGACTTGGGAATTCAAATTTTTAACAAGTGCCTCAAGTGAGTGTTGTCATTAGGGAGGTTTGAGATTTACTGTCGTATAGTGGGAATTGAGTTGCACGACAGCAGAAATCTTTGTTGGTTTTTGTTTTCCAACCAGGATACAGTGGTTGCATAGCATTTATTTTTTATACTGAATATTTTTTACATAACTTTACTATGTTGGTTTTTCATATTTTACCATTTACTACTACTTATAATTTAAAAACACAATGAGGACAGGAGGCACAAATCACTGCATTAAAATATTTCTAAGTAAAAAAGTCATTTCTGTGGGAAAAAAAAACCCTTAAAAAGAGCAAACTCAAAGCATTTACAAATGAAAAATCTCAAGTTGGGTGATATGATTGATTAAATTTTATTTATATCTGATATCAGGTCATTGTCAATAGTGGGCCACAAGGAATGTAACTGATTACTGGGGACATAATCTGATTACTTCCAATGTAATTCTTTTTGCAGTTTAAGTAGAAGTTGGAGTTCCCAGGTTTTTTTCCCAGCAAAAAATATCATTACTGGCTTCTAGAAAAAGAAAATGAGAGTCCAGTTAGAGGAATTAAAAAAAGAAAACCCCTTAACTTTTGACTATGTTTAGTCTGCTCTTCTTAAAAATGTCTATGTAAATGAAGTTTTTTATTGACTTAGAGGGGCCTAAAATGACTAATGTTTCCCCTTCAATAATCCAGAGCTGCAGCTTTGGAACAGTTCAAGTCTCTTGGTGCTGAGCCCTTGGAGGTGGACTTGAAGGAATCTGGTGAAGGTCAGGGAGGCTATGCAAAAGAGATGTCCAAAGAGTTCATTGAAGCTGAAATGAAACTCTTTGCTCAGCAATGCAAGGAAGTGGACATTCTTATCAGCACAGCACTTATTCCAGGTAAGCCACTAAGTAAATGGTTATCTGTAAAGTACTTTTACTAATGATTTTTTTTTAAATGAGGGTGAATAGTCTAACATTTCAATTTCTATAAGTAAACAATTTTTCTATTATAAAACAGCTAGAAAATGATACAGCACATGGCACAAATCATAGTACCCCTGGAGATAAGCCATCAATAATTTGTTCTGTTTTCTTCCAAAATGTTTTTATATAACTATATTCATGGACCATTCTGTATGTACAGTATTCTATTTGTAAACAGTCTTTAAAAAAACTTTTTTTCATTTATTCATATGCAGTCTTTTGTTTAAGGCCTTGATAAATTGATAAATTGTTAATTTTTTTCTTTTATTTAAGACCCTGTATCCTTATTGTAGCAACTTTAAACAGTACTGAAAAATCTAAATAAAAAAGTATGTGTCATTAGAAGTTCCATCAGAGATAACCATTAATAATATTTTGATGGTGAATTTTTCCATATATGAGAGAGAGAGGGAGAGGGAGCGGGAGAGGGAGAAGGAGAGGGAGAGGGAGAGAGAGAGGGAGATACTGAGTCTTGGTGTGTGTAGATGCATTTATTTATGGAATTTCCAGTGTGCATTTTTACTTATGGATAGGATACTTCATCACTTTCTAATTATTTCCTGTTATTCTTTCCAACCAAATTGTGAACTTTTTTGGTGGCAGGAATTGCTCTCTAGATCCTTTACATCATTTTCTGAAGAATGCTTGTACTCAATGCTTGTTGTAAACTCAATAAGCATTTATCAATAAGTAGTAGCTTGATCTGGCAAGGTTTTGCAGTAAAGAAACTCTCTACCTTTTATTTTCTTACCTCTTCCTCTGTCCTTTCCTTTTGTTATTGAAAAATGAATATCATGCTGGAGAATTAGAAGTTGCTTTGTCATGAGGCCACAGGGGAGAGGAGAAATGCTGTCACTCTTCCTCACTAGAAAATCTGATGAATGTAAACATAAGGACAGGGAATTGATTACAATTACATATGAGTTTCTGGGTGAAATATGCTCCCTACTTTGTTATTCATGGTGGTTTTTCTCTTCCTCCTCCCTCCTCGCTCCTTCTTCCTTACCCCCCCCTTCCTCTCTCCTCCTTCCTTCCTTCTTCCTTCTTCTTCTCCTTCTTTCTTCTTCTCTTCTGTAATGAGGTTTGTACTTAGGGCCTCATGCTTACTAGGCAGGAACTCTACCAGTTGAGCGAAGCCCCCAGCCCCAGTTCTTTTTCTGACCTCTGTTTATTCAGGTGTTAGATGAGCTGGTCCTTACAGATGTCCACATGCCACCAGAGTGGCTAGGTGAAGCAGACAGGCAGAAGGGTGTTATGGGGCTCAGCTCACGGATGCATCTGTAAGTGTAGGAAGGAAGCCTATGGTTAGGTGATGCAGACCAGGAGCCACAGATCTAGAGAAGTGTTTGGAAATCTGTCAGCAAGGACAGAAGTCACAAACAAGTATATGTATACACAGTGGACCACTATTCACCCATAAAAAAGAATCATGTCATTTGTAGAAAAATGGACAAACTTCAAACTATCATGTTAAGCAAAATAAGCCAGACTGAAATAGACAAATGTTGCATGTTCTCTCTTATATGTAGAATCTAGATATAAGTAAACAATATATGTCACAAGTGTAAAAAGGGATTGTTTTGGGGTAGGAGCCAGTGAAAGGGGAGAGGGTGGAGGTGGAGGGAGATGAAATACTTTATATGCATGTATGTAAACAGGACAAGGAAACCCATTAAAATTGTTTTGAAAAGGGATTACGAGGATAAGAAAGAATAGTTAGAGGGGATAAGTTTGATCAATATACATTATAAGCATGTATGGAAATGTCACAATGAAACTCCTTTGTACAATGAATATACTAACAAAAAGGAAGACAAAAAAAAAAAGTCATGCACAAGCAGTGGCAGGAGAGCCCTTTAGGATTCTCCCCTTCCTTTTGTGACAGTGGCTTTCAGATCAGCTCTTACACAGGTGGCTTTGAAGAAGTGACTGGAAGACCTATGCTGTAGTCACCATCACCTCATTGAGAGGCAGCTGCATGGTGGGAAGGAGAGGCCTTAGCGCTGACTAGCTGTAATAAGTGGCCAGTAGAGGGTGCCAAAACATTTACTTCTGGAGTAAATGATAAGGACAGGAAGCTAGGTTTAGTGAACTCATACTCTTAATAAAGAACTGGGAGTAATTTGGACATCGTAGATTGGTTTATTATTGATTATAAAGAGAATAGTGAGTGATACAAATCAAGATTTCTTATGTAAACACACTAGATTTTTAAGGCCTCCCTCCATAGTTGCTTTTTGTTTGTTTGTTTTGAGACCAGGTCAGGCAATGCACCTAGGCTGGCCCTCAAACTACCTCAGCCTCACAAATGCTGGGATTACCGGTGTGTACCATCCCACCTGGACAGCCTTTATTTATTTACTTATTTTACAAATAGTTTATAGTCTGTACTTTAGTACAAGATCAAATTGTATGATTGTCTTGAACATTAAAGAAGGTTTAATCAATCTGTTCCACTGAGTCTTTCCTGTTTCATATGACACTTGTACAAAGTCCTTGGTCAGTGTGTTAACTCAGCTTGCTCTCAAAAGGCTGGCTGAAAAGGACTTTTCTCTTCCTTTTTTTTTTTAATCAAAAAAAGAAAAGCTAATTTATATATTATAAGGAAAAAGGTTTTGAAAGTTTTTGAAAACTCTTTTATATCCCTATAGGACCAACTATTGAAAACATAAATATTAAAAAAAGAATGAAACGATTACATAAAGGTACAAATGCCCTTGGAAAACACTGTCCTTGGCCTTGTACCTTTCCTGGTTATGCTCTGAACCAAGTCACCTCATGTTATGCTCTGAACGAGGTCACCTCATGGTGTATCCAGCTCCTGAAAGACTTAGAGCAGAAGTTGTTCTGAGTTTTTGAGTGGATTCAAAGAGCATTAAGCAACTGTCAGGAATTCCTTAAGCTGAGATTCCATAGTTCAGGACACAGGTAAATAACTGTTTTCAGGCAGCAGCTTCATGTTAGTCAGTGGACTTGAAAAAGACAATGACCTTATACTAAAGTATAGATTGTATGTATAATTAAAGTTCTATAGCTAGTGAATTGTTTTGTTGCCTGGTATGCAAACTCCTACTGGATTGGGTAATGAGTTAAAAATGAGAATTTTACTTATGCAGTGATTTCAGGTCAGAGTTTAGCTGTATCTTATTTTGTGGTGCAGTGCCACCTATCCAGCTTTTGACTTTGGAGCTACCATTAAGAAAAAAGTCAGCTCAGCTTTCTGATAATGTTCAAGTTGTGTTCATAATCTTTTCTGCTAAGATTTTTGAGACATAAGAGATTTTTCAGCATCTCTATGAACTAGAACTCTCTTTGAGAGACCTAGACTATTTACTCAGGTTGAAAATCTTTTTGGTAACTAGACAGA